TCCCCTGCTGGGTATCTTCCCAGAAGAATTTAAAACATTGTACCACAGCAATATATGTGCACACATGTGTACAGCAGCACAATTTGTAATAGCTGGATATTGGAAACAACCCAAATGTCCATCAACCGAGGAATGGATAAAAAAAGATGTGGTCTTTCTATACAATGGATAAAGGACAAACTGCCATAAAGGATAAAATGGAGATTTTTATAGGTAAATGGATGTAACTTGAGACCATACTCATAAGTGAAATAAACCAGATGCACATGTGTAGACATCATATTGTCTCCCTAGTGTGAGAAGCTGAAAGAATAAATAAGATCCAAAACGTACAATAGATATTGTGAAATGGGAAGAAACTGTTCAAAACGGAAGAGAAACTGGGATGGGAAAAGAAAAAAAAATACATATATATATGATAGTTAAGATAGTTATACTACTAATTTTTCTTAGTTCATTGAAAAGAAAGGTTTGTACTAATATTGTTTGGACAATAAATGCCAATATCTTGCACTCTGAGTATCTAAGTTAAAGATGACAATACATAATAACCATTGTTACCCTTCTATTATCTTGTTTTGAAATTGTGTTTTATTTTTTTCTCTTTAAAATAAAAAATAAAAAAAGCAAAGCCCAAATACATATGCATAAAATTAGTGTGTGAGTGTGTATGTGTGTATATGTGTTTGTGTGGTCAGTTATTGCACAAGCAATTTATAGATATCCTTCAAGCATTCCTGAAGCCTCAGTTTTTCTCAAGCATCCTATATCCCAGAATCTTCAGAAAGATTGTCACATCTGTACTAGCCAATCAAACTTTGTCAATTTAACATGGTTTTGCTTTATCTTGTTTTTGCAGTACTGGGTCCTATGCATGGTAGGCAAGTTTTTGTCACTCTTCATATCTCCAGCTTCTCAATATGGCTTCTATATGGAAGCGGGTGAGACAAGGTCTCACTATGTACTTCAGACTGTCCTTGAATTCACTGTGTAGCCAGGCTGGCCTCAAATGCTTGGTGATCCTCCTGCCTCAGCCTCCCAAGTGCTGGGATTACAAGTGTGCCCCACCACTTCCAGCTTCAACATGGCTTCTTTGTGGTTTTTTGTTTTTTTGTTTTGAGACAGAGTCTTGCTATGTAGTTCAGGCTGGCCTTGAACTCCTTTTGTATCCCAGGCTGGCCTGAAAGTTATAGCAATCCTCCTGCCTTGGCCATCCAGGTACTGAGATTATAGGTGTGTGCCACCGTATCTATCTTCTGAATATGGTTTTTAATCAAGTCCTAAAGGATTCTCTCTCTTGACAGTTTCTGGAACTGCTGCTTCATCTGTTTCATATTGGTCATGGCCTTGGAGCGCCATCCCTCAGCCCCTTCTCTTTTAGAAAAGTTAGGGCAAAGAACCCTGAAAGAGTGGGAATGAAGGAAGTACTATAACCAGTTTGTAACCCTTTTTCCCAGACTAGATTTGGTTCTCTCCTGATCATCCTTACTCACATTAACTTGAATTTAAAAACCATCGACTGCAACCAGACAATACCTTCCTAATCCTTGGACCTGCCCTATGAAGTAGATCATTGTAATACCTATTGCACAGATGAATAAACTGTGGTTTTCAGAGGCTATGTTCCAGGCCAGGGAATCCAGCAGGGACTTCACTGCATGTCTACCTAATTCTAAATCCCATTCTTTTTCCTCTCTGGCATGAAGTAAGATGATAATTCCCTATTGTCAGATGAAAGAAGATAAAGATGTTTAGGGCAGTGTTACGTACTCAGAGCTCGATAAATGGTAATTGGTTTATTCATTATACCAAATCAGATACCATCTTGTGCTAGATTCTCACAGAGACAAGTAGGAGCAAACAGCAAAGATTATAGAAATTTATCAGTTAGAAAATGTTTTCTCTGAATTTGGAAAAGACCACAGTCTTAGTTTTTTTTTTTTTTTTCTGGTATTGTTCTTTATTTGATTTGAGCAATATATATGCCAATTCTCTCTCTCTCTCTCTCTCTCTCTCTCTCTCTCTCTCTCTCTCTCTCTCTTTCTCTCTCTCTGTCTCTGTCTCTCTGTCTCTCTCTCTCTCTCTGTCTCCATTTTGGTGCTGAAGATGGAACCCAAGTCCTGCATGACAAGCATGCGCTCCACCACTGAGCTACATCCCATCCCCTCTCACTCTAGCTTTCGGTTTTTTTTTTTTTTTTTTTTTTTTTTTTTTTAGTACAGTCTTTCACTTTTACAATTTTGACGCTAAAAAGGGTAGAGTTTTTTTGGTTTTTCTCCGGTACCGGGAACTGAACTCACGACCTTGCGCTTGCCAGGCAGGCGCTTTGCCGCTGAGCTAAATCCCCAGCCCCTCACTCTAGCTTTCTATTAGGGACTTGGACAGTAAACCACGTCCTCAGCCCACATTCTCATTTCACAAGAACGCCTGGGATGTAGCTCAGAGGCACAGTGCCTGCCTGGCAAGCACATGGCCCTGAGTTCGATTCCTGGCACCAAAAAAAAAAAAAATCCAAGAAGGTGGAGCGACTATCTAGCGGGATGAGCTACTAGATGAGGACTGACGTGAAGAGGATTGTAACAACTCTTCAAATGTAAACTGGGCAGTTTGAACCTTGGGCTTTTTGACACTAGGGCTAGGTGCCAAGGACGGTCTATGGCCTATAGAACTTTATGGCTGTCCTGGACCCCCTGGCCTCATCTCTGGGCCCATGGGGGCAGAGAATGAGGTCATGGGGCCAGGGATGCCCTTGGACTCAGCACTTCACGGTTAGAGCACAATAGGCTGGCCAGGCGGCTGAGCAGCACTTCTGTTGTTTGGGAAATGCAGGATGGGTACAAAGCAAAGAGTCCAGTCAGCGTTCAGCCAGCCCCTGCCTCCCCCGACAAGGGGCTACCTCTGGGGTATCTTTTTTTGTCTTGTTCCTTTCTACCCTTTTAAGCCGTCAAGAGAGACAGGGCCTGGCCGAGCCTGAAGAGGCAGTCGGATGAGCACTGGGAGAGCACTTGGGAGGTATTTCAAGCCTTCAGTTCTTTGAAGACCTTTCCAAGGCTCTGCTTCCAGTTGCAAATGCCTGCCAGGGACTGCTGTTGTCCGGAGGCCCCAGCTTCTAAGGCCTGCTTCTTTTGTGTGCAACTTCCTCAAGAGATGAAAAAAAAATAAAGGTGTTTAGGGCAGTGTTCGGTACTCAGAGCTCAATAAATGATAGTTGGTTTATTGATTATACCAAATCAGATACCATCTTGTACTAGTTTCAGTTCAAAACAGTCTCACAAATTTCCCAATTCTGCAACTGAAGTCATTTCTTCTCAGCTCAAACCCCTTGCAGCTGTTTGAAAAACAGGTACAAGGACGGAGATTGTCCTGTCAGACAATGCTTTTTCCACTATAGTCGAGCTGTCCAATTCTCTCATCTCGGGTTGCCAGACAGAGCAAATAAGAATACAGGATACCCAGTTCAATTTGAATTTCAAATAAACAGTGAATATTCTTTTAGGATAAGTAGGTTCCCAACATTTTTTATACTGAAGAAGTCTTCATTGTTTATCTGTAATTCAAATGTAATTGGACATCCGCATTTATCTGCCAAACCTGGTCTCTTTCCACTTTTGTCTGGTGCGTCTGTGACACCTCTCTGCCAAACTATTCTGTTCTTTGGGAGACACTGTAAGAAGTCACCCTCTTCAGGAAGTCTTCTCTGGCTACCAGCCACCCCATAGCTCTCTCTAACAGAGGATGAGGGGAAAAGAAAGAGAAAGAGGAGACAGGAAAAGGACTAATAGGTTTTTAAGCATTTTCCCGGATGTTAGGTTACTTAATCTTCCCAAATAACCCTGTGAGCTATGTCTTACTAGTCCACTTTACTGCTGGCAAGAGGAACTCAAAGCACTTACATTTTTACATGAGGTCACACTGCTAGGAAACGGTAGAGCCAGATTTCATACTCCATTCTCTTTGCTTCCAGAATCTATGTTCTTTCCCATGTTGCTTGTAGAAGTCCTTCTTAACCTTGACTTGTGTGAACAAGCAAGACTCCTATGGAGTAACCATACAAACTACTTTATTTTCATCTCTTTTGGTCCTTTAACTCCCATTTTCCTTGCTATAAATATAAACGGGTAGTTTTACGACTTTCCTGCCCCACTTGTCAGTAATAAAAGTTGGAGGTTACTTTAAATCACAAAAGATGACCTTAATTCTATTTATTTTTGCAGTGTTGGGAATTGAAGTCAGGACTTCTTACATGCTAAGCAAGAACTATTCCACTGAGGTATATGGCTAACCTTCCCCCTGCATCCCCTACCAGAGAGATGGGAGGCTGAATCAGGAGGATTACAAGTTCAAGTTCAGCCTGGGCAACTTAGACTCTGTCTTAAAATAAAAAATGAAAAAAGAACTGGAGATGTATCTCAGTGTGAAGGCCCTGGATCCGATCCGATCGGCAGTACTGCAAAGAAAGAGACAAGAGAGAGAGGGAGACAGACAGGCAGGCAGGCAAATGTTCCACAGCCAGGCTGGCTTCAAACTCCTGGGTTCAAGTTCCCCCATGTCTGGCTCATTGATCTCAATTTTAAATTCACACTTTTTTTTTTTTGGTACTGTAAATCGAACTCATGACCTCAGGCTTGCCAGGTATGCACTTATGCCGCTGAGCTATATCCCTGGCCTGTGATCTCAATTTTAAATGAAAAATTTTCATTTTGGTATAGTCAACAATTTTTTTTTTTTTTTTTTTTTGAGACAGGATCTCCCTTTGCAGTTCAGGCTGGCCTTGAGCTCACTTTGTAGCCCAGGCTGGTCTCAAACTCGCAACGATCCTCCTGCCTCAGCCTCCTGAGTGCTGGATTACAGGCGCGCGCCACCACGCCCAGCCGTCACCAAAATTTCAATCTCTATTCAAAGATAATTCTCCCTGTGACCCCAGGTAAGATCTGTTTTAAGCAGGAAGTCTGTGCCCAGCTAAATATATCTTTTTTCTTTCTCGCTTATTTGTGACCCTCCCAGGGTTGGAGGAACAGGAGAGGAAACAGAGCAGAAAACTTTTTACCTGACAGGTCCATGGTGAGATGGTTTCACTTTGTGTCTGGCCATTCTTCCAAGCCATAAGTCTTGTGCACACTTAATGGTTCTTGGGAGCCCTCACTTGCGATAACCTTGACCTCTGTCTACGCATCTCTACTCTGTTCCTTCTCCAACTCTGAGACACCTGGCTTTTATCTCCAAGCTTTCATTCCAGGTCCCTCTCAGGTCCAAGTTCACATTTCCTCTACCATGACCAATTTTTCTTTTTTTGCATTTTAAAAAATTGTATTGGTACATTTTTTTATTATGTATGTATGTATTTATTTATTTATTTATTTGTCTCTTTGAGACAGAGTCTTGCTATGCAGTTCAGATTGGCCTTGAACTCCTTTGTAGCCCAGGCTGGTCTCAACTCGCAAGGAGCCTCCTGCCTCGGCCTCCTGAGGACTGGAATTACAGGCATGTGCCACCACGCCCGGCTTATTGGTACATTTTAGATATGCGTAATGATAACATTCATCATAGGGAATTTGTACCTGTACATGATATATCTCGCTGCTTCTTTTTTCCCATTTCCTTCCCCTCCCTTTAATCCCTCTTCCCTTCCTTATTTACAAAAGCTTTGTTGCCTTTTTTTTTTTTTTTTTTTTTTTTTTTTGGTACCGGGAATCAAACTCACAACCTTGTACTTACCAGGCAGGCTCTGTGCCCTAAGCTATATCCCCGGCCCTCTGGTTTTTAAAATTCCTTCTATTCTTTTATTCTCCTACCATTTTTTTTTCATAACCAATTTTTAAGATTTATTTATTTACTGGACTACTGGGGGTTGAACCGAAGGAATGCTGAGCTACATCTCCAGCCCTTCTTATTTAATTATTTATTTTGAGACAAGATCTCACTAAGTTGTCCAGGCTGTCCTTGACCTTGTGATCATCCTGCCTGTGGTGGATTGACAACTGGTGGTCAACTTATACCCCACAGCTGAACTGGGTAAGCGTGGTGCTGGGTGAGGATTGTTGCCTTCAGCCTGAGAAGGCAGAAATGGAGAAGAGCTGGTAGAAGCTGTTGGGAGCCTGTTGGAAACACAGAGAAGCCATATGGAACTGCTGATTTTCTTGGAGGAGCTTGTCATGCTGGCTTTCCTGATGAACTTGGCTGGTTCATCCTCCAAGGAACTTGGGACCTTGTCGCTGAGAATGGCTTCTGTTCACTTTTGGGGAACTCTAGTCCTCACTCTGAGCATCGCTTCCTGGCTCCAGAGGGGAAGATGGTGCACTGCTCTGTCTCTTGAAGAAGCTTGTCGTATTGGCTTTCCTGATGGGAACCCAGCTTTCCTGATTATCGGAGGAGCTCGGGACCTCACTGTTGCTGAGGATGGCTCTGGTACCTTTCTGGGGAGCTGTGGTTCTTACTTTGTGCATCGTTTCCTGGCTCCAGTGCAGATCCCTCAGATTGCTAGCACAGATCCTTCATCCCGCTGGTACAGACTTCCTACATTTCACCACTGACCTTTGGGCCTTCCCAGTGTAGCTCTGTGAAACAGGCCAGCATGAGACATTGTTGTGGGCTCTAGGCCTCCAGTTGGATTTGTGGGAGGCGTTATGAGCTCTAGGTCTTCAGCTGTACTCATGCAGGACATTTTCATAGGATCTAGGGCCTCGGCCAGATTCTTTGGTGTCTAGTGTATGGACAGATCTCCTGCACTCTCTTGTATATTATAAATAATCTTATAAAATATGTGTCTTGTATTACATTGTTCCCCTTGCAAAATATCCCCCAAACCACAACTCTACCTCAGCCTCCAGAGGAGCTAAAACTACTGTCATAAGCTACTGTACCTGGTTGCCATTGCAAATTCTGGCGTGCAGACTCCTTTTTTTTCCTTTTCCTTGCAATGCTGGGGATCAAGCCCAGGGCTTCACTCATTCTAGGCAAGTGCTTCCTCTGCCACTGAGCTACATCCCTACCAGGCTCACTCTTTCAACCACCTCTGCTCAGCTGCCCAGTCTGACTGCTGACCTTCAAATTTCTAACTGTGTGAACTCATCTCAAGCTCTCCAGTGTGGCCATCTTGCATTGAGCCTAAGCTCTTTCACCCCTTCCCCTGAAGGGCAGTGGGGTTCACAGCACAGATTCCTCCAAAAATTCTCTTTATCCCTTTGTCTCCGAGTTATTCAGCTTTCCATTACTGTAACAAATACCTAAGACAATCAGCTTAGAGAGAGAAAATGTTTATTTTCAGAGGTTCCAGTCCAGGATTAGTTTGTGGCTGTTGGGTCTGTGATGAGGCAGCACCTCATGGTGTGGAGTATTTGCTGGAGAAAGGCTCCCCTCATGGCCAGGAGTGAAAGAGAAAGAAGGGTCTAGGTTCCTGCTACAGCCTTCTAGGTAGCATCCCCAGTGACCTAAAAGTCTCCCATTTGGCCTTACTTCTTCTTTTTCGGTACTGGGGATTGAACTCATGACCTTGCACTTCCCAAGCAGGCTTTTATGTCACTGAGCTATATCCCTAGCCCTGGCCTTATCTCTTAAAGGTTCCGCAACCTCTCAATAGCACCGCTTGGGAGAATGGGCCTTTAACACATGGGTCATTGGGGACATTCCAGATCCAAACTACAGCACTCACCACTTTTTCTAGCTCCTCCAAATCCTTGGTGTCTGAGAGGAGGGTTAAAAGCCATCAGACCAGCCAGGTATAGTAGTGCACACCTGTAATCCCAGCACTCTGAAGGCTGAGGCAGTAGGACAACCACGTTCAAAGTGAGCCTGGGCTGCATAGTGAGTTCAAGGCCAGTGTAAGTGCATAGTGTGACCCTGTCTCAAAACAATAACAACAAATACAGCAACGAAACAACAAGCCATCAAATCACTTCTCAGTTCTCAAACATCTCCTTTCAAACTTCCACTGAGTGATCTGTTGTGCAGTTCGCTTTGGTTTTTTATATCTGTTAAAGTTTAGGTGTCTTGGCCAAAATCTCTCAGTACCTTGTTCCAAGTGTATGTCACTGCATGCTGTGTTCAAGCTTCTCTCCCTGTCTTCCCTTCATCTTGGCAGGTGACCTTTCATCCTGTTTTATCAGGCATGGATTTCCTCAGTGTTCTGCCCCTGGAGCCTACCATACCTGTCACATTATCTCACCTCATTTCTTCACCTCCAGTCCCGATGCCACTCCTTTCTGTCTAGATTACATACCGGTACCGTTCTACTATCTCACTCAGTAATCCCCTCTTGCCTAGTATTTTAAAAATGTAACTCTTTTTTTAAATTACAAAACTATTTGTAATTTAAAAATCAAATATTCTGCTGGGCGTGGTAGCATACACCTGTAATCCTAGCACTTGGGAGGCTGAGGCAGGAGGATCCTTGCAAGTTCAAGGCCAGCCTGGGCTACAAAATGAGTTCAAAGCCAGCCTGAACTGCATAGCGAGACCCTGTCTCAAAAAGACAAAAAAAAAAAAGTAAAAATCAAATATTCTTATATAATCAACACTTGGTACATAAAAGGGAATAATAAAATATTTTTAAATAACATAGCAGATGATACAGCTCAGTGCTAGAGTGCTTGTCTGCCATGAAACCCTGCGTTCAATCCACAACATTGCAAACCAAAGCACACCAAAACACAACTAGCAACCTTGCTTCCCAGAGGTTACCATTTTCAACTCTTGTAGTTTTTTTCCAATATTTATCAATTTTAGACATTATATATTGATATTTTTGTCTTGGCAGATAAGATTTTATCTCTTATGGCTTTCTTTCCCTTCACTCCATCCTATAGATATTTTACAAATTTTGTTTAAATTCATATTTTGCAGTTTCATTTCTATGTTTTGTAACTATTACTCACTGTTGAACCAAGCCATGTTTGATAATATTTCCTTCCTTCAACTGTGTTTTGCTTTTCCTGGAGTTAAAAATTATAGCACATAAATATGTACAATTATTATGTGTTGGTTAAAAGTAAAAAAGTTTTTAATTACCTAATATTTCCTAGGCTCAATCTTCTAGAATC